AAAGGGATTTTCTAACGCACGCCTTGATGCAAAACAATGGACTCGGTCACAACAGCGGTGCTGACTTTGCATGGTTTTTATTTTTGCTCTTACGTCTTTCCTCTCTGGACAGTAGAGGGGACCGGTGGGGTGCAGAACTGCCTTTTGGGCGTAGTAGAACAGCTCTGAGATGTTCTTCAGGTTTTTTGCAGAACACTATTCACACAACCAGAAGATGAGGAAAGAAAGGAGTGCTGTTAACACATGGATGAATATGGATTTTCAATACTGCAGTGCAGCACTATAACAACCTGCAGAGCCTTGTAGCAAATAAAAAAATCACCTTTGAAAATCTCACTGTGCTGAATATGAAAATAAATGTCTGTAATATCAACAGTTTCCTGGAAAAGTAGGACAACTACTTTTTATCTACCTGTCCCTGTGTGTGCGTATATATGTGTGTATTTACAGTATATGTGGTTGTGTGTGTGTGTGTGAAAGGTGAGTCAGGAGCAGACAGGGTATTAACACATAGGATCTGTCTGAGCATCAGAAAAAAGCACAGGTGAATCCCTATTAGGAGACAGTATTTAAGTGTTAAAGACACAGGAGGAGGTTAAGAGACAGTGACCCCGTTCAGACCTGAGTTATCCGATCACAAGTAGTCAGCACTAAGTACAACGCAACCATATGTGTGCTGAGATCCAATCACTCAGACCACATTGAGAGATGGTCTGGAACATGTGGCCACGTTATTTTCACAACACAAATGCATCATGGGCCACAAATGAAGAACCACCAACCAACCATATATTGAGTTGTTGACACTGAACACCACATAATGAATGTTACTGATACTCAAACAGGTTCATGTTTCTTCATATCTGCCCGCAGCTCATTGATTCTGACTGACTGGGTAAAAACAACATTATTTGATCTTAGCGAACACAAATAACATTTGTGATTATTTGCATACAGAGTGATGAAGTGAGATCCGACCACAAGTGATCACAGGAGACACTCAGGACGGGTGCTAATGAAAGATGTGAACATGTCCCGTGCGATTGAGTTCTCACACATAAGGAATCACCATACAGAGTTCATTAAGGTGGGTCTGAGTTCATCTCAAAGCTGGTGTCAAGTATCAAATCCACCTGCACTGAACATACTGTCACTCAATACTCTAATCTGAATTTCAGCACATTTACAGTTGTCGTACTTCCTCATTGTGAACAAAGCATGTTGGACACAGGCAAAAAATTGTATACACAGAGGAGATGACAGTGTCAGAGAGGATAACATAGCAATAAGCAGCCGAGCAGTTCACAGTTCAAAGTGCTTTGAATTGTTTCCGATTGTTGATAACAATGCATTGTTCCACTCTGAAACGTATTGTTTTATTACTGAGAAACCGTAGCAACAGTAAACAAAGAGACCCGTCTCTCACCTCAACACAAGTCTCTATCTCACTGTACTGGTTCATTATGGGCAGGATGGTCTCCATGCTACTGTGTTCCACCAGGTCCGACTTGTTCCCCACCAGGATCAGAGGAACCCTGGACAACACAACCACAACCACAACATTGAATATTAAGATTATTAAATTACATCAAATGTAGATTTAAATATTAATAAAGTTTCAATATTTTTCCTACAATAACAGCATTGACTCATTTCACAGTGAGTACAGCAGGCTGATTCTGCTCGTGGGAAATGCTGCACGACCTCTGCTGCTCAAAGTGAAGCAACTGTGGGACATTTTCCACCCTATGTCTACATCACTTCAAGCATGAGTAGAAACTTTAGTTGGTTTTGATGCTGCAGAAAATTCTATTGGGTCGATTGTGCACTAGGAGCTAGCTGTGCTGCGACACGGTCAGAGACATGACAAACACAACTCTGGAATATTTTTTACACTATTTCACACCTGCTGTCCTTGTCCGTGTTCTCAATAATGAGAGGGATCCAGTGGCTTGTCACCTACACAGACCAACACAACGGTAGAGAAGATCAGACTACTGGGACACAACTCTTACTTTATCAGTCACATATTTAAAGTTTAACTGTAATACAAACAATCTATGGAAATGCAAGCAGCAGCTGAGGTAACTCACCTTTTCTATGGACTTCTTGTTGTTGACAGAGTAGACAATGCAAATGACATTTGCCTATGAGAGAGACCAACACAAGTTTTAAGCTTTTACCTGAACACATGTCTTCTCTCTCTGTCACAGAAATGCACTTACTCACCTTAGAGATCTCCTGAAACAGCTGCTCGTCTGTCTGCTCTGCCTCTGTTGCAAAAAAGACAGATGTACGACTGTGAGAATCTAGAAAATGTCTTTCTTTTCCAAGTAGCCAGGCAGAAGATAACTACCTGAATAGTCCACGATGTGCGTGGGAACTCTCTCTGGTGTGACATCTGCAGGTATGGTGATTTCCTCAGCTCGGTAGGGCACCTGGGAAGAACACAAGTGATACAATAGACTATGGCTCAAGTAGACATGTTTACAACTAGCTACACAGCTTCAATAATACTGTTGCGAAGTGTTATCAATTTCTGACATAATAGGTTTCTCTGTACCACATGTGGGAACTCCTCGCTGACCAGGGACATGATGAGAGACGTCTTCCCCACCTTGGCTGTGGAGAGAGGGCGAGTGTGTGAGACCTCCAAAATGATGCAATTTGCTTGAATGCATACTCCTTTACAACTTTTACAATCAGAGGTTACACAGATTTTATGTTATGACCGTAACAAAACATGGTCATTTTTCATGGCTGGTGTGTGATCTATGACCTGCAGGGTCCATCCTGGATCTGATCTGCTTATTAAATTATGTTTCATACCTAACCGATCTGAGAGTAATTTAAAGTTTAGAAAATAAATGGGTAAACAAAATGGATCCATACCCTGTGGAGGTGTGCCAGGCACAAAATATAAAATGAGAGGCAAGTCTAGTTGATAAAATGGTTTAATTGAGCAGAGGAAATTAAAAAAAGGGAAGATGTCACCCGATCTTTGGACGCCGATTTAAACTCAGGTCACAGAGAAATGGCTCTCAAATCATTTTAAAGCTCCATACTTGCCTCGACAGTATGACACCCCCAATATAAAATGATTACACCAGTTACAGTTGAAATTCAATATTAAAATTGGTCTTTTAAAATATTTATACCCTGCAAGTCATTGGGAGGATGCTCAAAGAAATACAACATATACTGAATGGAGTCATTTTTAGGTGAGAGAAGAAGTTTAAAGGTGCAGTATGAAGAATTGTGTGACATCTAGTGTTGAAGTGTCATGTTGCAGCTGAACACCCCTCACCTCAGCCTCTCCTTCCAAACATGAAAAAGAAACTGTGGTAGACTTCAGTTGTCATAAAAACTCAAAGGTGTTTAGTTTGTCCAGTCTGGACTAATGTAAAAAACATGGTGGCCTCCATAGAGAGGACCCCCTCCATGTAAATATAAAGTATTTCAATATAAAGGGCCTTTTCTGGGGTAAAGAATACTACAACTCATACCATTTAGATACAACGAACTAGTGAAAACATCATGGGGATTATATAATAGATCTCTTTCACCTGCATGTTACACACTGGAGCTTTAAGAGACCTTTGAATATATTTTATTGATCGTTATTAAACATACATTATTGATTGGTAATTACCAAGAGGTGGTTTGAGGTCGAAACATCATCATCATCATCATCATCATCATGAGACAGTCAGCATCACATGTGCAGCTGGTAGCATCTCTCACACACACACACACACACACANACACACACACACACACACACACACACACACACACACACACACACACACACACAGAGTGTAAAGCTCGTCTGTACTTACACTCTCCCACTAATAAGATCCTCACGTCTTTGCGCATGGTGTCCGGCCTCAGTGTGAACCATGTATGCTCCTGAGAGGATGAAGGAGACTCACTCAGCTCTGCGGGCCTGACTCGCTCTGCTCGCGGCTGCGTTCACATGTTCGGCTCCGGTTCCCTCAGCAGACCGATACAATCCATTAAATGCGCCCTGGGTTGATTTAATATAGTGCAATTATCTATATTGTCCCTGGTCACACAGTCTGTAGCTCCGCTTGTGTTCAGCTAGCTAACCTCACTTGACTCTGACAGCAGCGTTAGCGTTAGCATGTGTCCTCCGCCACGCCCCTCCGACTCAGCTGACTGTGCAAAGATCGTATATTAACTAAAGAGTCACTTCCTGTTCACTGTCCCATCCCTCTAGTTTAATGTTCACGTTGTATTTACACCGAGAACTACGATGCTAATTTGTGTTTTGGAATAAATCAAGCGATCTGCAACAGTAGCAGTGCAGTATTTCGAACGAAAAATAACTTTTTGCACATTTCACCTGCAGATCACAATATATCCTTAATATTTATGTACACACAGTTTTTTATAATGTGCTCTTTACTTTACAACATTTCTAAACAAACCACTACACTGAAAGGTGTACAGTATAACTTATGTATCTCATCCTCACCCGCCTGCTGCTGTAACAGTAACTGTATCAATAAAGTTTTATTTTTAATCATTTTTAAACTTCCTGCTGTGTTGGTTAGCGCGATGATATTTGTGGTACCAGGAAAACGGCGCAGAGTGAGATGTCTTATATTTTGTCATATCTTGGCAGCACCTTCCAATTTGTACCGTCAGGCAAGAAAAGTGAAAAAGTGCAGCAGCCAGAGGTGCAGCCAGAGGTGCAGCCAGAGGTGCAGCCAGAGGTGCAGCCAGAGGTGCAGCCAGAGGTGCAGCCAGAGGTGCAGCCAGAGGTGCTGGAGAAGTATGAACAGCTACTATCACATCATAGCATTACAAACTTGAATTTACCTCCAGGAATACTTATAGCATACTCCACCACCTTCAAGGTACAACTACATGCAGCACATCCTGTGTGAGCAGGGCAGTTAATGAAGAAGAGATACTTTATTAATCCCTCAAGGGGAAATTCTTTTTTGTTTTTGTTTTTACATGCTCTGAAACACAACCACACACACACAATGTGGAGAGGGATGGTGGAGTGGGAGTAGGGTGCCTTGCTCAGGGGGGCAGGGGACAGTGGGATAGGGAGAGTCCATCTGAGACTCCAGCAAATCCAGGTCCTTATGGTCAAGGTACATCTTTCTTTTTGGGCCATCCTCAGTGTTGAACCAGCAACCTTCACTCTGATTTGTGGTCCACTTAGTCTACTAGGCCACCGCCTAGTGTATCAAAACAAATTAAATTAAATCCCAGATAGAGCCTAAAGTTCCCCTGGTGATAGTAAAAGCTAAAAGATAATAAAGGCACTTCTGCTTATCTCAGTTTACTATATTTAGATTACTAGAAAGGAATGTGCACATGTATTCCCCTAAAACGTGACAAGCAGAAGTGTATTGAACTTATGAAGGGTTTTCAGTTTTAACTATATACAGTACATAACTAAAATGCAAGTGTGAGAAAGATGAATTCAATAAAAAAAAAGTGCAAATGTACTTAAACAGAAAACACAAATACAAAATTACTACAAAAAGAAATAGGAAATTATGTGTGAAAATGTACAGACCCTGTTTTTAATAAATACAACATTTGGTTCCAGTGTATTCATGGTGTCCTACAAGAGAATGCCTTCATCAGTCATCACGGTGGCAAAAACAGTGCAATAATCTCACAAGGCAGGAACGTCTCAGTTTTGTCAACAACTTCTCCAAAGTGTAACACAGCAACCACAGAGGCTGTAGCCTTTGCAAAGTGTTGGAGTTGAGCTTTTTGTCAGTGGAGCTGAAGAGTCCTGCTGGTATGGAAGAGAGTTTGGTTGTACTTCTCTCTGTCCTCACTGGCAGGATTGAAAGTGAGGTGATTAGTGTGTTATGTCCCAAACAAAGGTGTTCTGGTCATTTCCCCCTTCTCAAGTTGGCTTCATCTATATCAAAGATAGGAAAGAGAGAGTTAGGCAGAATCAAATTCACCATAAGTCCGTGTTTATGCCATTTGCTGATCACAGGAAGACATTAGTTGCATTGTATCAGGTGTAAAATCTTACTAGAGTAGTCCTCTGCGGTCATGGGCTGAGCAATGACCTCTCTCAGTGCCTCCAGCCACTCCCTCCGCTCCTGCTCCTGCTCACACATGAACACAAACTGTCTGCCTGGAGTCTGCAGGGTGATGCCACAGTGCCAGCGGCCTCCCCTCGAGCTCTTGCCACTGTTCTCTGAGACAGAGTAGCTGTGGCTCTCAGTGCCAATGAAGACGGCGCCCAGCTCTTTAGCATCCTGGAAAAACAACACGAGTGTAATAAATGAGTCCAAGATGGGTTGAAAGTGTGCACTTTTACATTCTTTGCACATCTTTTTTGTTTGTGTCGTCCTTTATGTGAAATACACAGCTACAGTTTGAATCTTTTTTTTTTTTTTACGTGTGTGAGACCTCCAAAATGATGCAATTTGTTTGAATGCATACTCGTTTACAACTAAGTGTTAGACTTATCTCTAATATTCAAATAAGAATTACACAAAATGTTTGTATGTATTTGGGAATCATTTTGATTATATGATATAGACATTCAGACATATTGTGTGTTCTTTACCAGTGGAGTTTTAAAATACAGAAGTTTTCTGTTCATCAAGCACAGTGTGAACCATCTTTTCTTGAACGGCTCTCGTTGCTGGAAACACACACAGTCACACAGGTGGAAAAATGGACAAGCAGGAAGACAAAGAAAAAAAGTCAGACAGACAGAATAAAGAAAGAAGGATTTAGTTTTTCAGATTTACCAAAAATTAAATTAATCAAATTCATTTTTGTGTTTATATATATGACAGACCGTTGGGCCAGTTTTCTCCATGTATCCCTCCTTCAGACATCGTCTTGTCAACTGAGGTATAAACTGAGTAAAGAAACACAGGTCATATTGTTAACTGAACAAATGTTGCAGTTCACAATCTAATTAACAGTCTATCTGAGATATGAAAAATGTTCTCACGTCATTGTCTTGTAGGGTGGGATGTTTCTTCTGTAGGTAAGCCAAGCGTGTTGCCCGGATAGCATTGAATAAGGACACAATGACCTGTAGCATAAGGCATCAGACAAAGGGCAGTGAATGACAAAGTCTAGTGCTGTACGTAACCATGTGACCATGCATTGTCTGGACAGCCTCAGTCATTGTGAGGGCTCAGTTAGAGAGGGTCAGCTAAATAGTGCTAAGATAACACTACACATGCATTGACTGGTGTCCGTGCTGCAGACTGTGATTGCTGTATTTGCCAGCACACGTCATCTATCTGTCCGAGGTGGAGGTAAAACATTATTGGGCTCCAGCAGCTGACCTCACCTGCCCATTCTCATGGTAAACAAACAGATTCCTCATGTGTTCGTCCTGCAGGTAGGATATCTGCAGACCGTGAGCATGGCCGACCTTCTCCGGCTGGAAAACTGCGTTCAGATCGTTCATGCTGATGACCTCTTTGGGAGCCTTGGACTTTTTTTTGAAGAGACAGTTGAGGGAGGGTTTTAGAGATTAGAAACAAATAGTTCTTATGCTCATAAGATAGAAATTTAGAGAATGATACAGCAACTGAACTACTCACATCCTCTTTAATGAAGTATCTGAGGGTGAAGTCTTTCTGGGACAAAAGAAAGAACCTCTTGAGAAATTGCTTGCTGTCTTTTCCTTTCTTCCACAGTGCTGACTCAAACAGATCTGAATCGGATACATCAAGTGAATATGATTGGTACAGAAAACAAATATTGTCTTGTTTGTGTGATGGCAGGATTATTACCTGAGCAATAACTTTGTTGACAGTAGGTTTTTTCTCCTGTGAATTCTCTTCTTTCATACTTTGCACGGATCCATTGATCCTTGAGAACTCTAAGAGCAGCACAGAATACCCATTAATGTTTCCTCATAGCTGGAACACAAGCCACTGAGAACATGTAGAGCTGACATTGATGAATGGATCAAATTCACACTGTCTATGGTGAAGGAGCTACACCACAGCACCCAACCCTTGTTGGTCCTTCCTCTTTCTGTGTGCAACAGGAGCGCTCCACAGCCATTCATAGAATTTACTGAGTCTTCACTTTCCCTTCCACAGAGCTAAAGAGGTGAGAGTTAGTGTGGTCACTCACATGCAGTCTTTTTGCTGCGGTCTGTAGAAAAAGGCAGGGACACACTTCTCGAAAGTGGCTTTGGCTGCAGAGTTCCCTCTCTCCCGCATGAACTGAAACCAGAGATGTAAAAAAAAAAAGAGGGGTCAAAACAAATTGACTAATATTCAGAGCTGTGCAGCTAATTTGGAATTTCCTGCTTTGCTTTTGCAAGACAAAAAACTTGTGAGATTATTGACAATCTAAAAAACAGAGCAGAGCATACGTGTCAGTGATCAGGTATAGTGTTGCTTTTAAAAAACTTCAAATTCTAATGCTAGTGTTTAGAAAAAGAATAAGCATTGAAAAATAAGAATTAGAAACATTTGTCTTGATATAAAAGTTCACAGCTAAACATGTAAGTATAAGTATAAACATGTAATATATCTTGAAATGGCAAAATTTGCAATATATAAAGGTGAAAATAGAATAAACAAGAATGGCACATATGGGTTCAAACCTCCTTCAAGGCCGAACAGTCCGCTCATGAAACCATAGATTTTTTATTTTGATCTGCGCCAAATTACACACACATTCCCTAAATAAGCCTGATTTGTTTCATCAGGATCCATTAATTATTCTCTGAGAAATCATGGTTAAAGAATTCTGTTTTGAAAAATCCTGGATCCAGCCCCTCATCCGGATCAGCACCGAATTTTGATGGGTTCTTCGCTGACCCATTCCGCATCATTCGACCAAGTTGCACAATAATCTGTGGTTTTGGGGTAATCTTGTTAACAAACAAAACAAACCAGCCAACATACAGGAGTGAGAACATAACCTCCTCGGCTGAGGGATTAATGAATACATGTCATAGCTGTAAATAGAGAAAAGAAGAAAAGAAGAATTCAAACTTCAGAAGCCACCTCTACTAGTGAATCTTCCCAGAGATCCAGACGTATGGATTTCATTCTGCTGATGTCGGGTAAATTACGATGCAACCCTGAGCAGTTCAGACACACGAAGATACCAAGAGTGCACGAGGCCCAGTCCGGCTCTGTAGGCACAATATTGACTTTGTTAGAGGGAACTTCAAGCACAGTGTGAGCCCTGAATACAAACCACAGTGACAAACAATTGTTTCAAATGTGAACAATAAATCGCAAATATGTGGACAAACTGAACAGCGAAATAGATCCAGGTAGTTAAGATTTATTTGTGTCTACCAAATCCAAATTTCATTTCTCTTTTCCTTTCACAGACATAAACACAGAGAATGTGATTTATAGGAGGAACAATGAGCTCATTCCACGGAATACACAGCAAGTCCACTTCCCCTCATGGTGGTTTATTGTAAAACGTGGCTTGGTCATAAAATATTATTTTGTCTATACTTTAACAAACAACATCACGTGGCTTCGTGGTACAAGTTGTTTACCATTTTTCACATGTAAGGTGTATAGAGAAATGATGTTTTGCTCAAAAAGTTCAGAAGCAAACATTACACAAAAATGCTGATATACAGATTTTGGTTATGGATATCGTTCAGTGTACTCACCAGGAGCTCCACAGTCAGCACATTTGTTGTTACCAGGCTGTTGCACCAACTCCAGCAGGATTTTGTTGTTTCTCTCCAGACAGGCCATAGGTGCTGATATATCTATTTAGTTTTCTGTTAGAGTGGAGTCCCACCAAAAGATCTGCTAAGTATTAACTTCATGTTGACGGTCCATGCTGCTCTCTTCTGTGGCGAGTGGGAAAAAAGCGTTTTTTCTTCTCACTGGCCAGTGGACCAGCATTTCCTCTTAAAAGCACAGCGTCATGCAGTTTATTGTTCTGCACACAAACAGACAGCTCCAGAAATAACACAGAAAGGAAGTGAAACAAGCTTCACAGTGTAACAGGCCGATCGACTTACAGTATCAGGCTGATGGATTTGGATGATAGGTTTGTAGAAATGGTTTCTACATGTTGAGAAATGTTAATTCTACTGTAAATATAGAATTTCTTTGAATAAAGTGGTTTGTTTAAACATATTTTGCAGATGATACATAATATGCATTTTTAACATTAATTTTACTCCTTTGGAAACTGTAAAAATGTTCACTTTAAACCTGTTTAAGGACGTTTATGATGTTGTACAAGTCCTATGAATCTGGTATGTAGATGTTTTCACTTGTTATGTGTGATTAGAGACGTCTTCTTAAAATCTTTGTAGATGTTAACAGACCGTGCTTGACTGGAACCTGACTTTCCTGATATGCTTTCATGCACTTGTTTAGGCTGAGCTGAAAGCTTTAAGTACAGAAATAAAGAGAGAGGAACAGGAACAGCCATTGTTTTATTTATATTAATGTATTAGCATTACATCAAAATGCAAAAAAATAAACTTGCTTTCAAATGCAAAACTGAAAATCAAACATTTCTAAAAAATGAGAGCACAATTTTAATTAAGAATATCAACAAACCAAATGATTAAATGTCCAATATAAAAATATACTTAGGCCCTTGGTTTGTATGTAAAGTTTAACATACCACACCTTCTCTGTGGTGAAATACAACACAATACTTTATTTGTAGGGTTGAACGAGCGCTCTCTCGATACCCTTGTTGAATTTGAAGAGAAACAAGTTGACTGTACGTTGCACTTGTTTGCATTGTAGGTCTTCATTTCATGTGACAACAGCATAAAGACAACGAAATTAGGCAATAGCCCCCTACAGTGACATTTCTATAACAACAAAATTAGAAACAATACAATTATATTATATTATACAAAGTGCTTCACTCTTTGGACAAATAGAAACCAGAAAACTAGATGTCAAAGTCAGGAAGCAAATTACTGCAACATCATTTAAAATTAATAAAAAAATTATATCGTACAATGTCTAAAAAAATTACCTTTATTCAACGTGAAGTCCTGCAGATGAATTATACTGAATGCATTCACACTATAAACTCCCACACAGTAGATGGCGCTATACAGCTTTAACATCAGAAGACGTAGACGCAGCACCCCCGGAACAAATCGCAGCGGTGTTGATGTTTCCACCGGTCGGTTTTAACGCGCCGGACAACAACCGGAGGGCAAATGTGTCCAACCGGTACAATGTTGTAGTTGAAACAAGCGATTCATTCTTGAATAAACCACGATGTGGGTCGCAAGAAGGGTTTTGTCATCGGTCGCTCAGAGAAGTCAGTTTTATTTATTTTTTTACAAATGTTTAAAATGGTTTTACTCATTGTTTACATCGATCTCAATAATCCACTGTCCGGTGACGTTAAGCTAATTTAACTTTGCCAGCTGCAAATGATGCTGATTTAAACATTGACAGTAACATTTCATCCACAGTAACATGTCCCTGGTTCATTGTCCCTTTTTTAGAGTCGTTCCTTCCTTTGGTTTGGAAACATGTGTTTGACAAGTTCACAGTAACTTACCGGAGGTCTCTGTCCTACTTTTTAAAAAAGGTTTTATTTTCTGTCCTCGCTTCCTCCTCCATGTCCTCCACAGGTCAGTACACAGGTCAGTACGCGGGTCAGTGTGGTCTGTTCCTCCGCCCTAAGCACGGCTCCTTCCCGGAGCTGGAGCTGCGGTACCTGCAGTGCACATGCTGCTGGAGGAGCCGGGTCCCCATGGCCGGCTTTGACACCCTGAACGCCACCATCTCCGAGCCCTGCAAGGAGGAGCCCGGCAGCCCCCTGGACGCCTGCTACACCCCCGAGCAACGAGACGCCATCCTCCAGCTGCTCAACAACGCCACCCAGTCAGAGCTGGCCGCCGTCAAGCTCCTCAGGGGCCGCAAGTCGCTCAGCATCGTGGAGTACAGGACTAAAAACGGACCTTTCCGAACCCTAGAGAGTTTGGTGAACGTGCCTCTGCTGAAGCACAAGAGCGCCGTCGTCGTCTTCAACTCCATCCTCAACCCGGTCAAGAAGGAGAGGAAAGTGAGGATCCAGCTGGTCAAGTTCATCAGGCCGGGGGTGGACAGGTCCTGGCTGGAGGTGAGATCCTTAATACCGTGGGTTGACCGGGCAGGTTCACATCCCTGTGTTAATGCAAGAATCTCCTCGGCCCCTTCAAACTAAACACTGCTGCTGCTGCTGGAGTCTGTTCACATGTAAACATCTACAGATGCTTACACACTGAATCACTGAGTTCGGCTGTGGCTGAGGGGGTAGAACTCGAATCCCAGCCCATGACAAAGTGTCCTTGGGAAAGATTCATCATTATTAAAAAAAAAAAACTACTCTCAGTAGAGCAAATACCTCCGCCAAGGTCCGACAATCCCCTTAAATTTAATCAAGCTGCACTAAATTGCACACACTTATAGATATGAGTCCTCTAAATATGTCAATTAAAAAAAAAAAAATAAGATCCATGAATGTTTACCTGGGGTAAAAACCTGGATTAGCACTAATATTGTATGGGTTCTTTCTTGGCCCATGTCCCATCCCTCCAAGTTTCATGGAAATCTGTTAAGGAATTTTTGCGTAATCCTGCTTACAACCAAAGAATCAAAGATACAAACAGACAAGTGTGAAACCATTACCACCTTGGTGGATGTAGTAATAAGAGTATATGTTCTTGAAAAATAGATCCAGTTGAGTTCCAGACACTTTGTAGAATCCATACCAACGAGCACTGAAGCTGCTCTGACTTGTAGTTGAACGTCACTTCATACATTGGTTTCTGCCTGAGATTCAGGCTGAACACAAGACAATCTGTTCCTGTGGTGTCGTTGGGCGACTCTCGTCACGTCATGTGTGTCAGCAGCACGATTGTTAGATTCAGGTTTCACCTTGTTTCATTTGTCAAACCAAATGTTGAACGTGAAAAGAGAAAGCAGGTTTCACTATTACCACCTGTCACAGTTCTGTATTTGTTTATGCAGGATGCCAGCTCCATAGTGTCAATAACATGTGGGACTAATAAAATCGCCTGGGCACATGTGGACCGTGGGATGAACGTACAGGACTGGCAACAGTTGGAATGTCCCAATTTCTTGAGGGGAACCTACGTAGCGTCTGCTTACTTGAATGATGTGAGTATGGAGTCCATGATATTGTCTTTTCACACTGGTTCGATGAATGATGCTGAGGATTTCTTTTGAAGCTATTGATCAACCATTGTCCTCGTTTATTAACGTTTGGGTGAAACTCACTGTTCAGACTCTAATCCCACATCCATCTACATCATTTGAGATTTTTTTCTTTGCTGCCAACAGGTCTCTGCAGTTGTGTCGCTCCTCCCGTCTGCTGACTTCTACATTATAGAGAAATCCTCGATCTCAGTGCAGAATACCGCTCTGTTCCCCGTCATGGCTCACATGAGGACAGTGGAGGCCATGCTGTTTGCTCTGCTGGAGCCTAAGAACTCTGAGCCAGAGACTAACATTCCTCCCAGGTGAGAAAAAAGTGACTTCATGTCAATAATGACTCCTTAACTTCAAAATACACCAAAAAGAACATTTAATATCAAACATGCTTTACTCAAGCTTTAGCTTAGTCACTAACAACAGTTTCCCTCCTTCATTTTCTTTCTTCCTGTGCAGAGTTTTGAACATGATGCGAACTGCTGTCGGACGCCACTTTGGACTCATGGTGGGCGAGTCTCGGACCAGCGGCGCGCAGGCAGTACGACAGCTGATGACTGATTCTGTGACACAGAAGTTTCCCAGGATAAACTTTCCCCCAGAGCTGCTGGGCAAGTACAGAAACTACTTCCAGATCGGGAGCAGACGAGGAGGAGAGGAGCTCTGCGACGCTCTACTTCAGGCTGTAGCGTTTTTCGAGCTACTCAGTGAATCTTCCCGTTAGTCCACCTGGACTGAGCTCACGCCACCCAACCACAAACTACATCCACCGAAACAAATCTCCACATGGAGTCAAACAAGCTGAACAGATATGTGGTGGTGGTTGATGGTATTTAAATAAGTGAATAATCTACTGGTTACATAAAATGCTGCCGTACTGTTTTGAGGATGTTGAACATGATGGTCACTACAGTGTTTTCTTATCTCTGCTTTCCTTCTTGTTCAACTTGGACACCTGCTCAAAGTACTTTCCCTGATGTTACCTTCTATTGTCTTGAGGACTTTCAAACTTTTTACAATACATTTTTTTTTCATTCTCTAAAAAGGGTGACACCTAATCACCTAATAATTTTACAAGATCAAGTTTATTTACAAAAATAATATTTATTTACTCTTCATGATTGCACTTACATTAAAATAAAACATGATTTCATATCTCAAGTGTGTAAAATTCATTTGATTCAAAAATAAATACTGATGGTATATAGAGTAGACTTTCCATATTTTTCGTTAAGAGAAATCTTCTGCCAGGAGTTGAATCGTTGACTTTGACAGATCCAGGTGTATGTTCCTGAGGTAGTTCACACACATACTGCTGGGAACAAAACAGTTTATTTTAGCTGCAGATTAGATTGCTGCAGACTATTGTCTGGATGTATGATCCTAATAAACGTATGATACCTATCTTTCTGATAAGATTGGTTTTGATTAGTAATTTGATGCCATAAAAACAGATTGAGACGTCATGATAGACAGCTGGTACTGATTTCTGATTGGTCGAGCGTGTGTATCAGCAGGACCTCGATATCACGACTCCATCCTCTGATCGTTACTGGATTCAAATGCACAAGATGGCAGCATTCTTATCTGGGATATTTTAGCTTCATCTCTCGATAGTGGGAGGAAGTGGAGACATGTCATCCACCTCTATAAACAGTCTATGGTCACACTATTATGGAAATCAAATAGGATTTTATTTGTGTATGTTAAAGCTTATCAAAAGTGAAATATTCACTATTTGAATTGAAGAATTATAGACCTGTGTTGTGTGTGGTTCACCTGTTTGGCTCCTCCTCCTGCTGCTGCGCTCTGTGAAAGCGACAGATGGAGCGGAGGACCGGCATGTAGTCGACACAGACGGCTCGTCTGTTCCCCAGCAGGCTGAAAGATTTACTGCTGAGCACCTTCCTGCTCAAGTCATACCTCCTGTGGGACACACTGGAACGAGAGGCACAAGTGTTTTATGGTGGAAAACAAGATTTTATTTGTCTAGATTCTAGAAAAATAAGGAAACCGACTCATGTTTTTGTAAATAAAGACTTGGATATATATTGCTGAAAAACATCCACGTGCATCACCTGAAATCTAACATCTGAATGACTCATGAACCAATGTTAAACAGGGCACAAAACCTCTATCGGTCCAGTAACAAACTGAGATGCCAGAGAGAAAACAATCTGAATCAGTATTAAGGGACTTTGGATAGAAGACAGACTTACCTTGTACCACACTGAGGTTGAAAACTAAATCTGAGGCTCTGTCTTTTGGAAGATGTGGGGAGCGCCACTCTCTCCACCAGCCTCTCCCACATTTCGCCCCCCAGCTCACATCTGTGTTTGTGGGCTTCGGTCCACGCCTGAGACACTCGCCACCAGCATCTGTGAGAGCCCAAGCCCTCAGCAGCAGCCTTAATATCCAACAGCCTCTCGTGGCTCCAGCTGTCACCCTCCTCCTCCTCGTTGGTCTCATCCAGCAAACCGTCCTTTATCTCTGCTCCCGTCCAGACAAACGCCTCAGGGCTGCAAGCGCCTGAATAGAGTGGCGCTGCAGCTGGAAGCGAGATATCAAGGTGCGACATGAGGTCAAAGAAGTCAGTCAGGGCGTCTAAACAGGCGACTGATATTTGTTCAGTCTTGTCTCTTGAACTAGGGATTCTTGAATGAACCCCTTGTAATAATAATGAGGCTCTTTGAGTTTCTTGTTTTGAAGCTGATGTTTCCTCAAACACTGTTGCAGTATATTTCCTTCTACTAAGTCTGGAGATATTCCTAACAGGTTTCCTGTCGGTCACTGACGCCTTTGGACTGACGTCTCTTTTGAGCCGCAGGACATGAGGATCACCGTCAGGGGGTGCCAGCTCACTCTGTAGCCCAGAACAAGTCACCTTCTCCAGGTGCTGGCCTGACGTTCTGTTGGGTAGAAGGAGCTCCAGGTTGTTGTAGAGAAGAGGCTCACCTCCTCTCCAGCTCTCAGATAAGAGCCTCAGCAGCCTGTTCATGTCTGTGTCAGACCAGCGCCGACACTGAAGAGTCAGAGACAAATGATTGAGACAATCATTTCATTTGGAAAAAAACCTTATGCAGTTATGCAGAGACTTGAATACTTGCCTTTAGAAGGTTCAGCAGTTGCTTGTGGGTGACATGCTGGAGACCTAGCATGGTGGCTGTGCAGCTCGTGTCCCATGGAGGAAGACTGGAATCTGAATGATCACTATCTTCAGCAGCATATGAGTCTAGGTTGGGAAATATGAGAAAATTCAGCCAAATATGTACTGGTATTAAAAGTTTGTGGTAGCAAAATCCACGTCTATAGGACAGCCAGATTGTGAATGATCTAGAGTAACTTACATTGTACACTAATTTGCTCCTTATAGCCTCCACTCTGAGCTGCCCGTCCTCCACCACTGAGCGCCCAGAGCTGCAGCTGCAGCAGACAGCGTCTGACGTCTCCACACGTGTGTCTGAGGAGCCTCCTAACATCGTCCTGTTCCAGTCGCACGTTCTCAGACAAACACACCAGCTGCAGGTAGCTACACACGTTCACCTCGGGACAGATGGAGTACGTTTATGAAAAAGTGGATCATTTTAGCTGTGAAGATTCTGCACATGTGGGACAGTGAGTGGACAGTTGTTATAATACAAACACAAAGTGTGGAGTCGTGTTTCGCTGAAGTTGTACAAGACTGTAGAGAATAGAGTTTGACTTACAACTGATGGGGTTTTGAAAAGGATTTCCTCCAAGCTGCAGCTGAATCTCTCTCTGAACAAGGGATCTGATGAGGACATTTAGTTTTCATCACAACTTGTCTTCAAATCAAATGTATTAATAGTTGATGTGCTCTTTTACCATTGGTGGTCAGAATGACTGGTCTTTTAGTCGTTGCCATGAAAGACTTGATGGCTCCGAGGAAACCAACATCGTCGTCAAATATGACATCGACCTGCAGGAGCAGATGAACGAATTAAACCAGAACGAACATGGGTTACAGTCAGTGTCGGTTGCAAAAGGCTTTACCTCTTCAAACAGAATGAGCGATGTGGCCGTCTTTTTGCTCGGTGTCACCGTTTGATCGCAGCCTGGTGATGAGAATTTCTTCTCATCTAGTTTCTCAAGCGGCGTCAGGCAAGCAACATGTAAGTGATCTGCTTTTGCCTTCATCTTGAAGTAGTTGGTCAAAGTGACTGCGGCTGGATTCAATTTTCCTTTGCGACCAGAGCGGCCAAAATTCTTCTTCTTTGAGGTAGAGGTGACAGTTTTAGGTGGTTTTCCCGGTTTTCCTGCTAAATCAATGAAAAATATCTATTAAAATGTGTTTATATAAACAATACAATAACTGTATATATAGATCTATATTTAAACCTTCCATGAACTTGACATCATAAGGTTTTTAACTTTCACAACACAGTCATTGTTGCAAGCTTTTGTCTCAGTATTAAAGAAGTGTAATGAAGACCCCGTCTCTCTCAGCCATCTCTCACCAGGGAAAGCGTCAGCTTTAGGAGTGCTGGTGTTGTAGTTGTTGAGATAAGCTGGTTTCAGTGGATCTTTGCCCGACGTCTCCACCAAGTAGGACTGGGTGGCCTCCTTCAGCTGGGACAGAACGTGGCGGCCGCTGCGCTGTGAGGAGCAGTTCACCTCGAACACCTTTGATTGAAAAGGTAAAACAAAATTAGAGTTATAGTATAATACTCAGGAGATTACCTGTCATGAAAGACTAGAAAATGGTGAGTGTGATTTGGTCCTAGAGAGAGTTACAAATGTCTGTAAGCTTAAGCAAATCAAGTAAGTTTTAAATGTTCCCTCTGACGTGACTTAATTTAGAACAAGCTGAGTTGTAATTGGTGATTTTTACGACTAATCTCAAATTCTTGATCTCTGAGACAAACGAATCAGACAAAAGTAAAATGAGGCATAAATACAAGGAGCTACAAGCGCATAAACAAGTTGTGATTCAATCGATCTTAGATCTGAAGTGCAAGTGTTAGAGTTTGAACATCCAACCACCCAATCCAATTGGTTATCTGGATAATATATGGGAAATGTTTAATCATATTATTTTAAGGAATCTTTCAAGGAACAGGTTGGATTAGATTTGATACTTGTACTTATACATGTTTGTTTTATTTCTTCATGGTTCTTAGTGGTGTCTGAATAAATAGTAAGAACTTTCCCCCAACCGAGATTCAGAGTTCAATGTTTTTTTTCTTAGCTGGGTCAAATTTAAAGATAAGAATAATTGATGCATTTATCACACGTTGGCGGTTTGTTTTGAAAGATATTGGAGCTTTTCATAAATTCCAACCTTGAAGCCGAGCTCCTGAGCGCAGGCATACACTGAGGCAGTCTTCCCCACACCCGGAGGCCCTGTGACCAGCATGGTGTTACACAGTGGATCCTCTCTGTCGTCTTCTGCCACAGCCTCACCCTGGAAGTCTCCACAGTCCCACGAGTCTGCAAACGACAGTGATTACTTTTCCAAACAAACCATTAGTGAAGAAATAAGAACAAAAGTAATGTGGGACAAATACCTGCACTGTTATCTTCATCTCTTCTTTCCTCCACCTTTCTCCTCTCGTCACAGTCAGCTCTTAATTTCCATTTCTTCAACCAACTGAATTTCAGACAAAAAAGAAAAGTTGTATTAACACAAGTCCAATGTGTCAGCGAAAGTGTTTTGAAGCTAATAAACAAAACTCACCTCTGTAATTTATTCACTGAGCCACAGTTGCCGATGACTTCACTTGAACACTGAGGACTGTACTTCTCTGTCCAGAGAACATCCTCAAAACTGGCTTCTGGAAAAATGGATAAAAAGTGTATTTTCTGTTAGTAAAAGGATCAAGCACATGCCTTGGCAAAACAGATCTATTCATGCACGAGAAGGTTTACCTCTGTGGAGAATATCATGGATAATAGGTGACGGGTCGTCAGATTCTGAGGGATTTATCCATTCAGAGTTCAGCTCAGGGTTGTTCACCGAGCCTGTTAGACTCCCACTCCTCTGCTTCAGTGTGTGAGAGCGGCCCAGCTTACTGCTGCTGGGCTGCTTCCTCACAGCGAGGACGGTGCTCTCCAGGATGCCCTGTTCTGATCGGTGATCCAAACCAACGCCATTCTCTGCAGTGACACCACACCGCCGACGCTTGGACACCCTCCCTGAG